CCCTTCTCTCTCTATATATATATTTTTATTTTAAAATCCGAGTCCAATTCGACTCTTAAATCCTAAATTTTCATCTTTCAAAACTTAGACAAAAATCCCCAATTCTTTTTGATTCCCATAAATTTTAATGTTAAATTTCATATATAATCATGAAATATAATTAAAAATTAATTAAATCACTTACTCAATAGTTTGGTATGAAAATCTCTCCGCAAAATTGCCTACCACCGAGTTTAGAGCTCAAAATATAAAAAATGAGGCTAAAATCTCGTCTTATCAAAATTTGTAACCAAATGTAGATGTTGCATTTACGATCTGGAGTTTGCAAATGCGAACCCTCGCAAAAGCGGAGATTACTTCGCAAAAGAGAAGCTTGGACTGTTCTGCACACATCGCAAAAGCGACAATATATGTCGCAAATGCGAAACCTGGCCTTTCGCAAAAATGACCAGTTAGTCGCAAAAACAACCTCCTACGGCCCAGTCCACCATCGCATTTGCAAGGCTGGCTTCGCAAATGCGAACCCTGCCCGTCCCAACTTCTTCGCAAATGTGGCGGTTTATTCGCAAATGCTGCCATTTTCTCGCAAATGCGAGATCAGAAACACCAACAAATCAGAACCTTCTACAAAACTCTCCGGAACGGGTTTGAAACTCACCCGAGTCCTCGAGGCTCCACACCAAACATCGATACAAGTCTAAAAGTATCATATGAACTAGCTCGCGTGATTAAAATATTAGAATAACAGCTAGAACCATGAATCAGACATAAAAAATGCATGAAATTTACATTGAAACTTAAGAATTTCTAAAAACACAATCACGCGTCTGGTTCCTATCAAATCAACTCGGAATGATGCCAAACTTTGCACACAAGTTCCTAATAATATAACAGACCTATTCTATATTTCAAAAATGAAATCTAAACCCGATAGCTATAAAGTCAAATCATAGTCAAACCTATGAAATTTCTAAACCGTCAAATTATCAAGTTTCGGCAAAACATGCCAAATCAACCTAGGGAGCTCCAAATTTAATTCCGCGCATCACTATACGAGCCTATCATAGCCATCAAAATATCATTCCGGGGTCATTTTCACAAAAGTTAAACCTCGGTCAACATTTTCAACTTAAGCTTCTAAAATCAGGATCACTCATCCAAATCTATCTCAAAATATCATAAAATCAAATCCGACCATACACGCAAGTAATAATACATAATATGAAACTACTCAAGACCTCGAACTGCTGAACGGAACGTTAAAGCTCAAAACGACCGATCGAATCATTACATAAATGTACTAGCAAGTTCTTGTGAACAAAAGAGAATGCAAAAAGTAATTTGTTAAAATATTGAGAAGATTTTTCTCAAGTACTTTTTCCATGCAATCTAACATAAAGTATTTCCGTAAAAATATAAGAACACACTCAGTTAAAATATGAGAGTTTTTGGAGCTTCTAATACTACAGCTAGGAGTACGGAAAATCGATAATTCGCACTAAATTAACAATCCGAATCAAACTGAGGAAAAAAAATCGACTAGTGGTTTGGTGTTAAAAAAAGCACGATCATAATTAATTTGATTTGATATTAACTGAAAAGATCAAATTACAACCAAACCAACCCGATATTACACACGCGCACACACACGTGTATTTATATACTTTAAGTATTTTATACATAAAAATATTTATCAGAATATAATTTATAAATATTTATTAAACTTTTTAAAAGAATTTGTATTGTAACATTCAATAGATTTTATAGTCCATAAAAGTGATTTTTCCTCTGGTCCAAATCGGTTTTAAATTGAGCCA